GCTGCCCAGGATTCCCAGCCGAGACTGTGAGCTGAGTCCCAACGTGGAGCTGTTGTGTCAACCACAACCTTCTGACCGGTTGAATAAACGGGCGGATCAAGCAATTTGTTTTAGATTCTCAGATCATATTCCTGTGGCTGATTTTTTATGTCCTTTCAGAAATGAGTCCGCGAGGATGGAGCTTCTCAAGTGACCCGGACTCGAGTTTATTGATGAATTGCAAGTATTATAATAAATAATAATTCTTGCAATTGATTAAATAAGAGCGAAACCTTAGGCAGGTTTCCTTACTCCACACCCCTCTGCTGACTCAGCAGTGAGTAGGAACCCGGTTGTTAGTCGACGGCTTTGAAACAGAATCAAGTGCCTCCCGCATTTCGCACAAAGATGGTCCTGACACTTATAACCAAACCGGAATTTTGATTTTAAAAAATCTTGTCTCCCCGTTATCCCTTCCCCTTTACCCCCTTCCCATCACTCCTCCCCCATTATTCTACACCCATTACCCCTTCCCCACCGCCCATTACCCCCTTCCCATTACCCCTCCCCCATTGGTACAGGCAAAAGAAGATCAAAGATCTGAATGCCGGGCTAAAAGAGTGGTGCGGAGAGCAGGAATTCCAATTCATGGGCCACTGGCACGAGTATTGGGGAAGATGGGAGCTTTTCCAAAGGAATGGGCTCCACCTAAATAGGGCTGGGACAAATGTCCTGGCTACGCGAATAAATAGGGAGGTAGAAAGGGCTTTAAACTACTGATGGGGGGGGGGGGGGAGGTAAAAACATAGTAAAGTATAGTCCACCACAGTTAAACTTGAGATCAACAAAAGCAAGAGAGCAGATTAACAAGGGAGAAGAGCAAAGTGTGTCAAGCAGGGAAAGGAAGTACAGTGATAGAGTGCTGGTGAATAGGGTTAATAGCCGGAAGTCAGAATTAAGGGCACTATATCTGAATGCACGAAGCATTCGTAACAAGATAGATGAATTAGTTGCACAAATAGAGACAAACCGGTATGATCTAGTAGCCATCACCGAGACATGGTTCGGGGGTGATCAGGGATGGGAACTGAATATTCCCGGCTAAGTGGTATATAGGAAAGATAGGCGATGTAGTAAACGAGGAGGGGGAGTGGCCCTGCTGATAAAAACAGTAGAGAGGAAAGATTTTAAATCTGAAAAGCAAGATGTAGAGTCAGTATGGGTAGAGATACGTAACTTCAAGGGGCAGAAAACTATAGTGGGAGTAGTTTATAGACCCCCAAACAGTGGTCAAAGTATCGCTCAAGGTATAAATCAAGAGATTAGTGGAGCATGTAGCAAAGGAAAGACACTAATTGTGGGTGATTTTAACCTGCACATAGACTGGGACAACCAAATTGGGAAAGGTAACATAGAAGAGGAGTTTATAGAATGTATTAGAGATAATTTTCTAGATCAATATGCTGAGGAGCCGACCAGGGAACAAGCCATATTAGACCTTGTTTTGTGTAATGAAACAGGGCTGATCAGCAAACTGGAACTTAAGGCTCCTCTCGGGCAAAGCGATCATAATATGATGGAATTTAGCGTTAAGTTAGAGAGGGAAGTAGTTAAGTCTGAAGCAAAAGTCTTCAATTTAAATCGAGCCAACTTTGCTGGTATGAGAGAGGATTTAGCCAGAATAAACTGGGAGACTAAACTTAAAGATTTGACAGTAGACCAGCAATGCAGACATTCAAGGAGAATTTCCAACGAGCACATATTCCTTTGAGGAATAAGAATGCCACGGGAAAGGTGGTGCAGCCGTGGCTAACTAGAGCAGTTAGGGAAAGTATCAAATCAAAAGAAAAAGCCTATAAAACAGCGAAGATGAGTAGTAAACCCGAGGATTGGGAGAACTTTAGGGAACAACAGAGGAGGACCAAAAAATTGATCAAGAGGGAGAAAATAGATTACGAGGGCAAACTAGCAAAGAACATAAAAACAGACTCCAAGAGTTTTTACAAATATATAAAGAGGAAAAGGCTAGCGAGGGTGAATGTGGGTCCATTACAGGCAGAGACCGGAGGAATTATAATAGGGGACAAAGACATGGCAGAGTCATTAAACAAGTATTTTTCTACAGTCTTCACCGTAGAAGACACTGGAAACATACCAAAAATAGAGGACCAAGAAGACAATGTTAGCGAGCAACTTAGGGAGATTAACATTAGTAAAGAGATGGTTCTAGGTAAATTGTCGGGTCTTAAAACCGATAAATCCCCTGGACCGGATGGCCTGCATCCGAGAGTTTTAAAGGAGGTGGCTACTGAGATAGTGGATGGCATGTCTATAATCTTCCAAAAGTCTGTGGATACTGGAAAAGTTCCCATTGATTGGAAGATTGCAAACGTAACTCCACTATTTAAGAAGGGTGGGAGAGAAAATAGGGAAAACTATAGACCAGTTAGTTTGACGTCAGTTGTAGGGAAAATTCTTGAGTCCTTAATAAAAGACGTAGTTATGGGATACCTGGAAGACCATAAAAAGATTAGGCAGAGTCAACATGGCTTTACAAAAGGGAAGTCATGCTTGACTAACCTTTTAGAATTTTTTGAGGATGTATCCAGCAGGTTGGATAAGGGGGAACCAGTAGATATTTGGATTTTAGGAAGGCATTTGACAAGGTGCCACACAAAAGGCTGTTACGCAAGATCAAGGCCCACGGGATTAATGGGAAAATATTAACATGGATAGAAGAGTGGCTATCGGGTAGAAAGCAGAGAGTAGTGATAAACGGATCATTCTCGAATTGGCAGGATGTAACTAGTGGAGTGCCACAAGGATCAGTGCTTGGGCCTCAGCTATTTACCATTTACATCAATGATCTGGACGAGGACATTGAATGTAATGTGTCTAAATTCGCGGATGATACTAAACTAGGTGGCAGAGTGAGCTCTCAGGATGATGCAAAAAGATTGCAACGATATAGATAGGCGCGGGGAGTGGGCAAGTAGGTGGCAGATGGAATTCAATGTTAGCAAGTGTGAAATTATTCACCTCGGTAGCAAGAATAAAAGAACAGATTATTTTCTGGAAGGGGAGAAGTTAGATAGTGTTAGTATTCAAAGGGATTTGGGTGTCCTTGTACACCAGTCCCAAAAAGTTAGTTTGCAGGTGCAGCAGCAACTAAGAAGGCGAACGGCATGTGAGCGTTCATTGCAAAAGGTTTAGAATATAAGAGTAGGGAAGTCTTGCTGCAACTGTATAAGGCTTTGGTGAGACCGCACTGAGAGTATTGTGTGCAGTTTTGGTTTCCTTATTTAAAAAAGGCTATACTTGCCCTCGAGGTGCAGCGTAGATTCACTGGGTTAGTTCCTGGGATGAGGGGACTGACCTATGAGGAGAGGCTAAATAAACCAGGGCTGTATTCTCTAGAGTACAGAAGAATTAGGGGAGATCTTATTGAAACATATAAGATTCTTAAAGGGCTGATAAAGTAGACACTGAGGGACTGTTTCCCCTGGTAGGAGAATCTATAACCAGGGGTCACAGTCTTAAAATTAAGGGTCAGCCTTTTAGAACAGAGTTGAGGAAACATTTCTTTACTCAGAGGGTAGTGACTTATGGAATTCACTACCCCAGAAGGCTGTAGATACTCAGTCCTTGAACATTTTCAAGGCTGAGACTGATAGATTCTTGAAAAATAGAGGGATTACGGGATATGGGGATAGGGCAGGTAATCAGAGTTAGGTGAGAAGAAGGGCCGAATGGCCTACTCCTGCTCCTAATTCTTATGTTCTTATGTTCTTATTACCACCATTACACCCTCCCCATCCGCCCTCAATACAATTTCCCGCCATTACCCCCTCCCCCCCCCATCACTCCCTGCCCCCCCAGTGGCGTAATTGTTGAATCGGTCGAAAAAATCGCGAGCTGAGAAAACATCAGCTCATTAAAGTGTTGTCAACAACTAGTTCTGTGTTTCCCACCCCCCCGGCTCTTCCTGACAGCACATGGAATTGGGTTAACTCGCTCGCTTGAGAGGGAAATAAACAGTAACCTCTTAGTGTTTACATACTCAGATCCAATCTACTCGGGTTTGGTTTTGGAATAATACCCACAGAGCATCTTACCCGATCTCTGTATCTACAGTGTGACTCAGCACTCGGCACTAATCAAATGAAGGAATTATTATACCATTCAATTACATAGAATTACATGGAACTTGTCTCCACACCTCTCTATCCTCTCTATTCCCCTCTCCTATGCCCCTCTATTCCCCTCTCCTACGCCCCTCTATTCCCCTCTCCTACATCCCTCTATTCCCCTCTCCTACGCCCCTCTATTCCCCTCTCCTACGCCCCTCTATTCCCCTCTCCTACGCCCCTCTATTCCCCTCTCCTACACCCCTCTATTCCCCTCTCCTACACCCCCCTCTATTCCCCTCTCCTACACCCCTCTATACCCCTCTCCTACGCCTCTCGATTCCCCTCTCCTACACCCCTCTATACCCCTCTCCTACGCCTCTCGATTCCCCTCTCCTACACCCCTCTCCTACACTCCTCTATTCCCCTCTCCTACACCCCTCGATTCCCCTCTCCCCTCGTGTCTGGATCATATTTCCTCTTGAATACACTGACATTTTCTGCTTCAACCCCAGCTTCCCACAGTGAGTTCCATATTCTTAACAGTTTTATTCAATTCTTAGAAATAAACCAAATTAAGCCTCGATTCCTCCAGTCCAGTTGCGTCCCAAAAGACCGTCGGGGATTGAGTGAGCAAATTTTTTTTCTTTTCTTTTTATCTCATTTTTTAAAAGGTACGTTACTTCCCGGAAAGCGAGCGAGTGGGAGTAAGGAAACTGACCCAACGTTTCGCCCCCCACACTCCCCCCCCGCCTGGGAATCAAACCCAGGTCCTCTCGTCGCGAGGCGAGGACTCTAACCACTGAGCTGCAGGACACCAATGCAAGGATTATTATTATTATTATTATTACAATAATATTCTTTGAAGATTGGTACCAGTGGGTGGCTCCTTACCTATGGTTGAGACCACGGTTCCCACGAAATAAAATGCCCCAGAGAAGTCCCAGCGAGGGCTGATACTGTCCACGTGAATTCCGGCCACGTTAGCTTCCTCGTAGAACCTGAGCAGGTTACTGAGCTCCACGTGGCTGACGTTGTATCGCAGGCTGAAGTTCTCCTGTCTCTCCAGCCACCGCTGACGGGCTTCCTTCTCCCCCGGCTGCTCGATGGAGGAGAAGA